AATGTTTGTCGCGGCTCCCGTTCGCGACAGCCGGGAGAAATTTTGTATTAATCTTCGGTTTTTCGTTTTTTTTTTTTTTTTTTTTTTTAATTGCACTAGCCGGCATCGAGCGTTGTTTTTCTATATGCCACGAAAAGTTAACGAGAAAACAATTTAAGAAACATGGAATACGTGCGTGTGTGCGAGCGCTTTAATCCTTGACGGTGTTGGCTAATTGTGTGTGAACATCATCAAAAATCACTCGTCGAATTATGTTCCCTCAAATATTTAAAAAACAAAAAAAGAAAAAAAAACTATTATCGTTTAAACATGTTTTTTTTTTTTATAATTGTTTAAATTAAATATTTAATCGTTAACATATTTAAACTACCAAAATATTTATTAGCTAATAAAATATTGTTTATTTATTCCAAATATTTATGTTACGTATCTTCAGCTTGTTTGATTACAAATAGTCGAGTATATCAAAATGCAATTTGAAGCATTTTTTTCTGCATCAACACGGTTAAGGATCAAACCACGAGAAATGCGAGCGAATGAGAGAAAAAAGGAGTAACAAAGTGTGATTAACGTGTGCGTGTGTGATTGTGATATCGAAACTCGATCGAGAGTCTTAGATCCCTCGCTCGGAGATCCCAGCGAGAAATTGCGATATTTTTTACCTAAATATTTATGGTTGCTGCGAGATCCAAATGCGCGAGATACACGCGACACTTCCGGATGATAAAAAAAAAAAGAGAAAACCACAAAAGCGCGGGAGCAAATTTTCGCCATCGGCAGAGGCGATGTAAAGTTTATTTAAAAGTTTATTTGTTTTCCATCCCCGAAATATCCGGAGGTAATTGCGAAAAAAAAAACTCTGTTTACACAAAGCTACAACCTGCTCTCGGAATATGAATGAGCGATCATCACGAAGAAAAATTCGAGGTACATTTATTTCGTGGAAAAAAAAAAAAAAAAAAAAAAAATCAACCCATCTGCTAACTCGCAGATTCACGAGCGCGCGATGATCTCTCTCTCTTGGATCTCGCAGCGCTTCTTTTTATAGTAAACTCGTCGCGAGGAAAGAGGTGGCAGTACGTTTGATTTTTTGCAAAACAAAAAAACTTCCACNCATCACGAAGAAAAATTCGAGGTACATTTATTTCAAAAAAAAAAAAAAAAAAAAAACAAATATCAACCCATCTGCAAAATCGCAGATTCACGAGCGCGCGATGTTTCGCGTTTCTTGGATCTCGCAGCGCTTCTTTTTATAGTAAACTCGTCGCGAGGAAAGAGGTGGCAGTACGTTTGATTTTTTGCAAAACAAAAAAACTTCCACATTCGCTTCTGGCAGTCTGTCGAATAAGATGCTTCTTTTTTTTTTTTTTTTTCTCGTCACAAGACAGAGAACTCGTGTTAGTATCTAATAACTCGTATTGTCGGCACGCGAGCGAAGTCTTTTTTATAACTTACATTCGAAGATGGTCAACAAAATACACCGAAAAAAAAAAAAAAAAAAAAAAAAAGAGAATGAATCACGCGAAAGCTATTTTTTACCGATAAAACGCCCGGTGTGTGCATAATTGTTTCTTCAAACCTAGTATTAGTATTACTTTCGTTATTCTTGAGAAGAAGAGAGCGAAAGAAGAAAAATGGAGAGAGTATGCGTGGCATGCGTATGTGAAAGTGAAAGAAAAAGATCTTTAATTCGCCGTCGTGAGAACGGTGTGTGCGCACGTGCGCGTTCCCGTTCCCCCTCGATCGGAGAGACTATTTGAGAGACTTGTTTAGAATCGATGTGTGGGCGAAACGCGACCGAAACACGTAAAGAAAAAAAAAAACAACAAATGCGCTGACTGATCATCGTAAGAAAAAAAAAAGAAAAAACGGAGAAGAGAAACCGGGACGAGGAAGAGAGGAAACGAAGAAGTAAAAAAAAAAGAATCGAGTGGATGTATCATTACGACGAACGAACATTTTGTCACATTTTAATGGGTCCGGCCCGCTAAAAGAACACCGCAAAAAAAAAAAAAAAAAAAGAAAGTTGCGAAATATAATCTTATGTAACATCGTACAGAAACATGCGTTGTTATTTCTCTTGCGCAAAAGTCCCGTGCGTTTATTAAGCCAGTGAGTATAGTCTAGACTCGTGTAAATAAAAACAAAAAAAAAAAAAAAACAAAAAAAAAAAAATAAATTCGTTATTTGAGTACATTTCTCATAACGAAGTGTTTTCTGTCGATTTTTTTATGTGTTTTCACGATTTTTTATTCACCGATGCACTAAAAAAAAACTGGGTTTCAGAAAATGCAGCTTTTTTCAGAACAAATCACCGCACCGGCACTCGACCGCGCATCTTTCCCGCTGATTCTCCGAAGAGAATTGACGTGGAAAATAATATTCATTGAATAAATAAATCATATCTTTCTTCACTACTTCGCATTTAAAATGTTTTTTTTTTTTTTTATTCTGGACCACCACGAAGCGTTGTTCTGTTATTAATTTATTGATCACTCATATCGTACAAGTCTTGTGAAACTTATGTAGTAAACAAACTATTAACTAGTTTTGAGATTCGCTGATATAGGTCGGCGCATTAGAAAATATAATTCTTTGCAAAATGGAGCGGGAAAACGGGGGGCGAAGGGGAGGGAGAAAGAGCGACGATCATTAACAAGGTACAGAAATAATAAAAATAATAACATTCGATTCGTGAAACGCATCGTAAAAAGTAATCGTTTTAAAAGTATAATGTCTACCTTTAATACGTTCAAAAAACGAAGCTCTCTTTTGTATATATATATATATGTATATATAATCATTTATATCGTTCTCTCACATCGAATATTGATGTACAAAGTATTCTAGTAATTATTAAATGAGCGTGCGTGATACGCAAGTTATCACTGTTCTCAAATTTGCGTACCGCGCACTCAATTTTTTGAGAAAAGGTACAATTGATAAATGCGGGTCGTTATTATTATTATTTTACCGCGCAGAGTGATAAACTTTTGCTCGGTATATGCTATATATATATTATATATACATACTGTAAGGTTGCGTCGTGTTATTTTTATGACAATTTATTACGGAATTTTTACGTATAGTTTATCTTTATATCGTAGCCTCAGAAGTACATGTATGTTTTAACGAGGAATTATATATATATCTATATATAAAAATTTCGTTTCTCTTTTTCGCGCGAGGTAAGATGACTCGTACCTCGTTTTTTTTTTCACAAGATATTACGATATTCTGGTTCAGTTTTATCTTTTTTCGAGATAGCGTTCTCTTCGCTCATACACATGATCAATTTATATATATATGTATATATATATATACCATTTATATATATATATATATACATATACATACCACTTCAGATAAAACTTTTAGTCTAAAGGAATATGCAGAAAATGGTATACAACTCTGTTTTTTTTTTATTTTTACACTTTATCCTATCCCTCGCACATCAGCGCTCTTCTCAGATTAACATAACTTGTTTCTTTCTGAGAATATATTATTATTTTTATCTATTATATCACTATGTATGCATTAGTTTTTTATCAGTTCATATATAGATATCTTCTTGTATATAAAGATGTACAGTTTCTCCAGTGTATGATCAATTGGTGAAATTACACAACAATAACGCGTAAGGATACAAAGGACATCGTATAACAATTCTTTTCTAGATATATATAATTATTTTTATATAAATTTTTTTTCCAAACTTTTTTTTGCATTTTGATATACGCTTACGCTCGATTGTTGCAGTGAAACGTAAAGGATTTGCATTATTAGGTTTTTAATTTAATCTTTTTTATATAGTTCTTTAATTGTACTAATTAAGAGAAAAATATATGTTTGTAAAACCTCGGTCGATAAAATATCGGAAAGTATCAAAAAGATTTTACAAGTACGGAGCACACACGAGAAAGATAATCGTGTTCTTTTGTGAAAAATATTCTTTTCAATTAATAATAAAAAAAAAAAAACAATGTTATTGTAACTTAGCGTGACTTCAACTATCTTTTATCTAACATTAATTGGAGAATTATAGTATTATATACATAAAAAAGATGTGTGTGTGTGTTGCATTGGCACGGCAAAGATGTGTGCCCGGACTGCCATACAGCGCTCAGCAATAAATTTTGTAGTTTCAATTAACAGCGTGACAAAGTACCTATACGTGACATTTTGTAACGCATAGGGTACTTGGAACTCGATTTCGTTGTTCTCTTAAACGGCTGAATGCCAATCAATGAAATTGCGGGACATGTTTTTATTTGAAAACATTCAGTAATTGCACCTCGTAAACGTTTCGTGCGTTACCTGTATATAATTTCTGATATTTTTTTTCTTCTTGTACATAAAATTGCGTAACATTTGATAAAACTTCTATATTAAAAAAAATATAAAAAATTTGACAAGTATTCGATAGAAATAGAATAGTTAGTAACAATTTGAAAACTAAATTTAAAATTAAACTTACGAAATATCTTCTTGTTCAATGTATATATGTTTGTTTAAATAATATTGTAAAATTATTATATATTTTCCCGTATGTCTCGTTATTTTTTTCCTTTTAAATGTTATTATTTCTTTATTATCTGTGTTGTTTTCCGTGTTATTGCTCTTCGCAGAATGAAACAAAGAACAATCGCCTATCGTACGAAGCAACACATTTGCAACAATAATACAGAATCAATGATTCAAAAAAAAAAAAAAGGTTTTTAATCATTTATTACATTCTTTATTTTCGAAGTAAGAATAAAAAGACATTAATAATTATTTACATGCACTATTCGATCTCTTTGCAGCCCACTGCCAAACTCACGTATTGAACGTATTGGCAGTCCCGGCTTCCAGTGGAATGTTGCGATTATATTATCTAATTAATGCGAGCGATAAGTCTACGATTACTGTGTCTCACGTTGTATCGTCACGTTCTCGTCGGCATTGTCCTAGTCCCTTTTGTTTTCTCTGTTCGACGCGACGTAGTCGGACACGTACGAAGTCAGACACAGAGTTTGAGAAATTATAAAGCCGCTCGAAACTCTATAAACTGAATTTATTTAACAACATCACTTTCTCGCATTTGCATTATNTTTTTTTTTTTTTTTTTTTTTTTTTTTTAATATTTCTTCAAGCTCCTTTCTATCTCTCTTTCCTGCTGTTTTAAAATTTATATATATATATATCATTTTCAGCGTAGCTCTCGCTGACCCAAACATATTTCTTCTACCTAACAAACACATTTTTCAGATATTGTCACAATTGGTATTGATATTTAATTATTTTTATGCTTCTTATATATGTGATAATCTCGTAAAAAGTTTTGCCAGAGAATGATAATTTTGCGAATTGCGCAAAATTACTTTTTATAAAGAAAAAAATTTATCTTTTTTTTCAAAGTATAAAAAAATAAGAATTTTTACATACGATTCGATAAAATTAAACGACGCGATAACATCAACTTCGATTACATAAAATATGAGATATGATTAAACAAACACATACCACGACGGTTTCGAGAAACATCAAAGAATGTGTGCAATAAGAAATCTATAATAATACGAAACATATTTTTGTAAGAAATTAATACATATTTTTTGTAAGAAGTATTTTTATCTTCCAATCTCTTTTTTTTTTTCTCTAATCCTTTTATTTATAAAATAGCTGACGCAAGTACGAGAAGCTGTCATGCCTCTAATCTATTTGCAAGATTCATCTCTCACGCCACTTTCATGACACAGGACTTAGCTTCAAAAGCGCAATATAGTCGGTTTTTAAACAGAGCATTATGTACAAGTGTTCGTATATGTAAATAATTATTCTAACAGTACATTTGTATACACATGTAAATTTATATATATATATATATATATATATATGTATATATATATATATATATATATATACATATATATATGCCTCGCCAGTTCTCTCAATTTAGAAATTAACGTATATATAACAATGATTTTTTTCCTCTCTCTTTCTCTACTGTCATATAATCTCGCGTTTAAGGTACCTATAGTTCGGATGTTTCCTATTACACAAAACATCGCTAATTTGTAAAAGGCCTGCCAGCCGGAATCGATCGTGCGCGACGTGAACGGGGGCATGGCAAAAATTTATTTTATTTAAGGAAAGACAAGGACTTCTTCTTGTTTACAAAGTCAGCGCGTAAAATCTAATTGCTAGCTGCCTCTCACGCGTAACACACATCTCTTTTCACGTCGAGTAGCGTCGATTTTAGCTACGCGAATCGAAAAAACACACGTGTTCGCGTCAACGCGCACGCATATAATTAATGCACACGCGCGCGCATTGTGGTTTATATGTATATATGTATATGTGTATGTTCGTATAATGCGTATATGCGCAGCAATGGAAATGCAATATACGTGTAATAATGATGCTTATCACTGCTGCCCACGTGACGAGTAGCATAACGAATGAATCCTCGATTTAAAAATGATTTCAACGATAAAAAACAGTTCTACATATTTACACGATTTCCTTTCTTTCTTTTCTCTCGCTTACACAGCACGCAATTACCAGTCATCAGAAGTGTTTGGTGTGATGTGTGTGATATTGTGTATGTAGCTGTCGAGCTCTATCGTCGAAAGCACTTGATCAATGTTTCTGGTTTTTTTTTTTTTTTTTACCCTGATCTCTTAAAAATGTCCAACGCTCAGTAACAATCGGTGAGAATTACGGTAAGAATGTCTTACGATATTTAGTTCGCTCGAGGCGTGTTAGAATTTGCGCGGCAGTGTTAGTTAATGAGCGATGAGAAGAAGTTGCGGATTAATTAATAGTGCACGAAACACGGCGGAAAATACTCGTAAAAATGCGCACAACGAGACTCTCTCTCTCGCGCGCGCGCGCGCGCGCCTGTGTGTGTGTATCGGATCGAATATATATATATTTATTTATTTATTATTAGGCATCAAAAGTTTCCTTAATTTTTGCTAAATTGCCTTTCAAAAAACAATGCATCGCATTCGAGTGGTGTGCGATATATAATAGATGTGTGTGTGTGTGTGTGTGTGTATGAGTGTATATATTATTATAAAAAATCAGTACTCTCTCTCGGAAATTGCACGGAAACAACAGGAGAAATATCAAATGCGTCAATGCACAAAACTGCATTTTCCACCGTTTTCGACGAGTTCTTGAAAAAAAAAAACAAGACGCTCATTATTTAGAGGCACTCTGTCCGCGACCAGGCTGTCGAGTAAATGCGCACGTGTAAAGACCTTATCGCAGTCGTTATTAATATACGCTATACAGAACCGATTTTTCCGCGGAATCTCGTTCAATTCCAGCTCCTTTCGCCGACATTTCTTCGAGGACTCGGTCATGCCGAACAAAAACACATCACAACGGGTTAATTACACATAAAAAAAAATAAAAATAAACGTATATTGTCAAAAGTATATACATATACAATATATATATATATATATATATATATATACAATATAATTTTATAAATATATATATATATATATCTGGTTACATGTTGAATTGGAATCAAAATTCGAGACTGGATTATATAAAAAACGTTTTCTCTCGCATTGCCTTTCAAGGAAGCCGCATTATTTTTATATCTAAATGTTTCGCGAACGTTCAAATTCAGCGACTTTCTCGCAACTTATAAAACCACAATTTGCATACAACATAGTACATACGTTATACTATATATAAAAAGTTAAGAAAAACTTTAAAAAAACTACTTCACTATATTACCTTTAAATCAGTCCTTGTGTTCGTCGTAATTTTAAAACAAAATCATAAATTTTAATCCTAGAGTTTTTTAATCTCTTTAGATCTAGTGTAATTTTTTTTTTATAATTATTTCTTAATTTTTTTTCTATATGTATATCCGTTCCTCGAAGAAACTACGTTCACTACCGGATCTCCACCGGAACGTAAACGTACAATCGTGCTCACGCCTACAATCCTCGCCATTACCTACTCACAGCACGATAATAAGCGCACAACGACACTCAAATTAGTCTTACTTAGATTTCTCTCTCTCTCTCTCTCTCTCTTTCTGCTTCGCTTCTTTCTATAATCTTAAAACAAAACGCATAAATGAGGCACTTGCCCGAATCTATTACCGGCCTTAATAACACTCCGTTCCTTGTTTATAGATCAAGATTTGCCAACAATTAATACACGGAAGGCACGCCTCTCTCTCTCTCTCTCTCTTATCTCTCGCGCGAATGCTTAAAATGTCTCTACACAAGTGTGTGTTTTCGTTTCTTTTATTTTTTTTTATTTTTTTTTTGTTTTGTGTTTATCTTGCATCAGTCTAAGCATCTAACAGGCCACTGCTACGAACACAGTCCTCATATTTAGTTATCACATTACATTACTACGGTTGTCGATTCTTCAGCCTCGTCGTCGTTGTTGGCGTACACACTGCTTCCTCCCTCTCCTCACACTCGATGCTCTCCCTTCTGATCGGCTAACATCGCGATCGAAAAAACGAACGAAGGAAATAAAAAAAAACGATCGAATACGATTCTTCCGTGATCGCGCACGACGCGCGATTCGTATTCACAGAGAGAAAAGCTTTGAGAAACTATATCATAAAAAAAAGTAATAACCTCTGTGCTTATTTAACGTGACTCGCCATTCCATTTTTTTTTTATGACACAACGTGCGAGGTTTGCGTGTCGATGTGTGATCATGAACGCATCTCTCTCGAAACCACAAACTTTCAGCCGTGCGTTTATCGTCGCGAAACTACGGGAAAAAGAAAGAAAAAGGGGGTTTTTCGCTTGCGCGCGTAGTACCTCATCCCATAGACAGTTCCCGGTTCCCGGTTTTCCTACGCGGGAGGTTGAGAAATACCAAATATGGATCTCTCGCGCGCACTCTCCAAGCACTTCTTCTTCTACTTTTCTAACGAGAGCATCGGAATTATTGCGAACGCGTATAAATTCCGATTAATCAGAAACGGCGAAATAAAGCGAATCGCTCGGAAAGTACTGTCACTTTCGTGGCGTGTCGTAAGTCAAACCGCGTCGGAAACACATCGAGTTCGTGCCGTCGCGTTTGCGATAATTCGTACTGCTTCCGCGCTGGAAGTTGTCGTCCTCGCTGCTGTACTGGACCACGGACTGGGACCGGGGGGGCGGACTACCGGCCATGTACGTGATCATGTTGTTGAAGTTGGGCAAGAACTGCGGATTGAAAAGCGACAGAATCCTCGCGTTGAGCTCGCGCGGACTCCGGGTCGGCACCATGTACTGATCGCGCAGATTGTTGTTGATCGCGGCGTATTGATTGAATCGATCGCCGACGTCGTCAATGGCAATGTTACGACCGCAGAGATCGTCGAGGCTGTTGGCGCTATCGCTACCGCCGGAATCCTCGATTTCGCAGGGCGCGTTCATCATCGCGGTCTCGACGCAATCTGATTGATGATAGCGCGTCGCATATCTCGGATCCACGGTCATTGATCGCTGCTGAGCGTCGTAAGAATCAAAATACTCGAGCGAACAAGTCTCGTCGTTCATCACGCTCTCGTAGTGATCCTCGTCATAGTGATCCCCGTAGCGATCGCCCTCGTCCGGTCTATGAGTGTTGTTTGTGTGATCGGTGGCGATACCGGTGGTGAGGCTCGTAGGCGTCGTCCCGTCGTCATCCTCGTCGTTCTCCCCGTCCTCGTCGTTGCGCTCGTCCGACTCCGCGAGGTCGGAAGAAGAGGAGGTGGAAGATACGCCAGAACCCGTCGGGTCCTGCGGTAAGCCTCAGACGGCCCTGTGTCGTCTTCTGTATCATATATACGTTTTCTTCACCTTCTGCACCGGCTTGTTTTCCGCGGACGAGTTTGCGTTTTTGCCGTTTGGATTCTTGGGCGGCACGTTAAGCACCAAATTGATGGATTTGTTATTAAATCCCGGCGACTCGGAAGTCTCGGTTAATCGGTTGAGCTGTTGTCGCTGCTCGGACGGCTCCGGATACGACGAGCCGCGCAGCCTTTGACTAAACCAAAAACCGAAAGCGAAACCGGCAACCAGAGAACAGAAGCAGGTGCCGATCAGCGCGCCCGTTAGCGTCTGGGCCGAGTACACCACTGGTGTCACAGTCACACCTGCAATCAGATCGGTAATGAACGTTGAATGACACACACCCAAGAGAAAACACCATCTCTCATGGCGGGAAGATTTATTTTACGCATTCTGTTGAAAGTGACAAGGAAACGAAAGCGGGAAAACTCAAGCGACAGATAAGAAACATAAGAAACAGAAACAAAGACAGAGATTGATTATCGACAGACATATGATTTGCAAAGAGAATGCAAGAAAAATTCAAAATTAACTCACACACCACAATCTGTTATATTGGAACAAATGCGACTAGAAAACAAAAACAAAAACAAAAACAAAAATGAGATGTATCAGTTTTCAGATTCGAGCGTTGATTTTTGTTTTTTTTTATAAGATAAACGTCAGAAAGAAACTCATCGAAACGTTTCTTCGCGCTGTCGTTCTCGAAAATATCGTTTCTTCGATAAACAAAAAGTTTTTTTATCACGTTCATTTGCCAATAGTGTACCGTCGTGCTAGCATACTCGTACGGATTAGTAACAAAAAACAGACAAAGTAAAAAACCGCATCGGGGGAGGAAAAACAAATAGAAAACGCGAGAATTGTTTTAAAAAAAAAAAGCGAGGATTGCGTATTATAGTGAAACAGAGAGAGAACTTTTCATTTTTTTTTTTTTTCTTTTCGACGTCGAAGAAGAATACACGTTCTTGTCGGCGTGAAGTGGCAATTTCTGTATAGCGCAAACGGGGGGGGGGGGGTTTACCTTGAGGCTCGTTAGCCCTCGGTTGCGTACGGCGATACTGATTTTCCCCATCCAACTCGATGACGATTTCATTGTTCCGTTCATTGGGCTGCTTGTCGCGCCCAATTTCGGGCGGCACCGCTGGTTGCACGGGTTTCGTCATTTCTGAAGTAACAGTCACCAATATGATGATAGAGGACAAATGATGACATACCACATGAATTTGCATACTTGGAGCGTGTGTGCGTGCGTGTGTGTGTGTGTGTGTGTGTCGGTCATTAATGCCTTTCATTCGGTTTTCAGCTAATTTCGAATCGAACGCGTCGCATTTAGAAACGGTTCGTGCATCATGACGTTAATTGAAAAACGTTCGAAATTCAATCGTTTCTAAATTTATCTTCATTTATCGTCCCGTTATTATATTTGATATTGCGTAACTAAATTTTGATTTTAATTGGAATTTAATTTATTAATGGTTGTTATTATATATATTTAATGTTGCATTTGATGTTGTTACCTTGTCCTTGCGGACACTGCGTGTTTAACGTTCCGCATACATCAAACGCGACTATCAAACTGTCAGGCACAGTACCCGGAGTCATGATGTACGAATATCTAGATATGATGCGTCTGACGTGCTGTGTGAAGGCATACATGACGCCTGGGCAAAGTACGCATTAATGCTCAGCGAGATGACCGAAGCTATTAGCCGTGTGTTTTCGGTTTAACTGAGCGTGTGCGAGAGAAATGTTAATTAACATTCAACTTGTGCGAGCAGTGTGTGTGTTTTTTTTTTTTGTTTTTTTTTTTTTTAACATTTAACACATGCATTTTTCAGAGGTACTTTTCTTTCGGCAGAAAAAAGAAGCAAGACCATGTACTACTTGGACGCCCACGCCACAAGGGTAAGTTCATTCGTTCTTATAGTTTTTAGCACTTACTCTTCTCGTTCTCTGCATTTCAAATAAATCGCCGTGTGTTCAGATTTGCGGGAAAAGAAGAAAGCGACAAGACAGAAAAGAGAGATAAAGTGGGAAAAAATAAAGTGTGCAAAATAGATTGAAATTCAAATAAAACAAGCAAAGCGTAAGTGTATACACATGATTTTGTGACCGTTTTTTTTGTCATCAACTGAAAATCAGAAGTGAACGAACTAAACACGTTCGTTTATTCGCTGTGTCTTCGAAAAATAAGAATTTGTTTTTTTTTTTTTTTTTTTTTATACTCGGTCAAGTTAAAGTAATTTATTTCATTGTTTCGAATCGCGTTCCGTTATTTTTATTTCCATTTTGGTGCACGCGCGAAAGAAGTAAAAACAAAAGTAAAATAAAAAAAAAATGAATTAAACTAAAAACCAAAGGCAAATAAAAAAAATCAACGAGATAAAAAACGAGAGAAGGAGATTCGTTTGATCGGAATTAAAGCAAGCGAATCCAGGCAGAGTTTTTTTACGTGTCGTCGCGTTAATATATACATATATATTCATTTTCGGAGTCAAAACTGGTATCTTACACACGGTAACGGTGTACACACGGAAACAAATTTACATCAGCCGACAATAATACCTTGCTCGTATCCGCAGCTTCTGTGTCTGCCGGTCGAGATATCTTGGAACAGCGTCTTGTCGGCATCGCTGTCGTGAAGTTTGGTCGACACGGCCACGCAGAGATTCGCGGTCGCGTCCCAAGCGCAATGAGGATCCTGTAGCGCGACGCAAGTTCTGCAGGTGGCCGCAGCTGGCGAGTCGCAATGATGTAAGGGAACCGCGCGAATCTCGGAATCCGCGAATACCACCAGCTTGCTAGCTTCGCCGGCGAGATGAACCACCAAAAGGTCTTTGACCGCTTGACCTACAACGTAGAATTACGTTGTTGCGAGAAAGACAGATTATTACCGGCGCGTATTACACAAAATCCATCTTTTTCGGTTTACGGATGCGAGACAACGTGCGATACATCCTGATTTTGGTCGTTGTCATTTTTTTCTTTATTTTCTTTTTTCATAAAAATATATATATATATATATCATGAAATATATATATATATATATGATATATATGATAATATAATA